TAGCTTATTTCCACTTTGTTTTTTGTTTTCTTTCTGGCATCCATTTTCATTTTAAATTATTGCACACAGATGCAGAAATTACTTGATGGGCACTAATTGTAGAATTTATGGAAATTAAATCATAGGATGCTTAATACTGAAAGACTGAATTGTTTCATATTTTTATTGAGATATAATTCATATACCATAAAACTCACCCTTTTAAAGGGCACATTTCTGTGGTTTTTAGAATCCTCACAAAGTTGTACAACTAAATACCTCTATCTAATTTCAGAACATTTTTATCACCCAAAAAGGAAACCCTGTACCCATTAGAAGTCACTTTCTATTCTTGCAATGTGGATATCCAGTAGTCCCACTATCATTTGTTGAAAAGTATATTTCCCCCCACTGAATTGTCTTAGAATCTTGTAAAAACAAATTTATCAAACATGTATTGGCTTATTTCTGAATTCTCAATTCTATTCAATTGACTTATATGTCTCTCCTTATTGTCACACTAAGTATCACACTGTCCTGTTTACTGTAGCTTTGTGGTGAGTTTTGAAATCAGAAGTATGAGAAATTGAATATTGTTGTTTTTTCCCCCAAGATTGTTTTGGTTATTCTGGACCCCTCACAATGCCACATGAATTTTTAGGATCAGCTTGTCAGTTTCTACAAAGAAGGCAGTTGGGATTTTGCTAGGGATTATGGTGACTCTAAAGATCACTTGGAGTATTACTGCCATTCTAAAAATATTGACGGAGCTCCGCTAGTGGTCCAGAGGTTAAGAATCTGCCTGCCAATGCAGGGGACACAGGTTTGATTTCTGGTGCAGGAATATTCCACATGCTATGGGGCAACTAAGCCCATACACCACAAATACTGAAGCTCATGAGCTCTCTAGTCCATGCTTCCGGACAAGAGGCCACTGCAGTGAAAATCCCTTGAACCACAACTAGAGAAAGCCCTTGAATAATATCAAAGACCCAGCACAGCCAATAAATAAATACGTAGAAAATACACTGTCATTCAACCCATGAACATGGAATGTCTTTCCTTTTTTTAAAGTTTTTTAAAAATTTCTTTCAACAGAGTTTTACAGTTTTGCATTACTTTTGTTAAATCTATTCCTAAAGTATTTTATTTTTTAAGGTGCTATTATAAATGGAATTTTCTTAATTTCATTTTCAGATTGTTCATTGATAGTGAATAGAAATATAACTGATTTTATGTATTAATCATGTATCCTGACAGCTTAGTGAACTTGTTTTAAGAATTCTTGAAGGCTTTTCCTAATCCTTAGGATTTTTTTCTATATACAAGATCATGTTCTCTGTGAATAGAGATGTTTTTACTTCTTTCCAATCTACATGCCTTCTATCCCTTTTTCTTGCCTTATTGCCTTATTCTCTACCCTTTAAAAACCTATAGTGACTTCCTTCTTTTTTCCTCATTGGAATAATTTTTTTTGAGAGAAAAGGACAAGAGTGTAGGAAGGAGAGAGAAAGCGGAGCTCTTAAAAATCAGAGGTTGCAATTGTGTGGCTTGAATTGATTTTTGGTGAACCTCACATTCTCTCGTGGGAAATGTCTTCCCTCAAAGCATCTGGGCCCAGGGATTTTCTGGGGGAATCTCTGAAATCTGTTTTCCTCAGGTTTTGGACACAGGTCTGACTGAGCCCAATATTCAGCCTTCATTGGCTGTTAAACAGTCTGCCATGACTTGGCCACTTTCCCCATGCCCATCTCTTCTCCTTCTCTGGCCAATTCTTTCTTATTGCCCAGAGGCAGAGCACCACCAGTTCCTCCCATTTCATCCTCAGTCTTCTGAGAAATAAAACTGTCAATAAGACAATAGACTGTTTTGCTTCCATCCCAAAAGGACTTTGACAAACATCTCCTGAAGTTCTGGGCCAGCTTTGTGACCCATGTGAGGAAAGTCCATTAAAACTCTCCTATCTATCCTCTTCCTTGCACTTGGGCCCCTCATGGTCATCTTCCATAGCAAGCAGAGCTTCTTGACACTCAGACTCTCCACCCACTCTATTTAGGAGTTTTGTTTTTGTTTTTTTTTTGGCCAGTCTGCATGGCATGCAGGATCTTAGTTTCCTGAGCAGAGATCGAACCCGCACCCCCTGTAGTGGAAGTGCACAGTCTTAACCACTGGACCACTAGGGAAGCCCCTAGAAGACCTTTTAATTAGAACACAGCACACACTTAAAATGCCTCACTCCTGGTGAAAGTCCTGGCTCACCATGTTTCAATGGGGCTCTTAATTCTTCCCAGTTATGGGACAAAAGGAAGGAAGAGTAAGGTTTCATCAAAGGTGGAATGTATATCAAAGGCTTTGCTGCGTGACTTCACAAGGAGAGAAGTTTCCCTCCATATTAGTGTAGGCTCTGTGTAACCAGTGACCTCTGGGGATGTGCAGGAAGCCAGGTGGATAAGAATCTCTGACTATGCAGACAGGTGCATCCTATAGCCAATTATGAGCTTCTAATGCTTACTGGCTAGAAACAAAACACCCAGGCACTGACCAGCCTCAGAGAAAAGACAGCCACAGATGCAGGCACGTTCCAGGATGGTTAGCACCTGGGTCAACACTTCTGGCCCCCAGTACCAGTGTAGGACTCTAGAGGGCAGCTGCCCTTTTGCTTGGGTCTTTCCTTCCAGAAGCTGAATCTTTTCCTCCTAGCCCCACTCTGAAATCAAACTCAGATCTCCGGTGCCTCACCAACCTTCTGGTATACCCTGAGTTTCTTCCGCCCTCACAGGTCCACTTTTGTGTCTGGTGCCTAACAACCATGTCACTTAGGCCAGGGAAGGTCTCAAGAGCAAGTGACTTCCTGATAGGGTGGTGACTCTCTCACTGTGGTGTTGCACGTGGGGGCTCCAGGGCCTCCTGAGAAGTGGTTCATTTGGATGGAGTCATTGTTTAGTCACTAAGTCGTGTCTGACTCTGCGACCCTATGGACTGTAACCTACCCGGCTCCTCTGTCCATGGGATTTCCCAGGTAAGAATACTGGAGTGACCCAGGGATCGAACCCGCGTCTTCTGTTTGGCAAGTGAATTCTTTACCACTGAGCCACCTGGGAAGTCCTTGGATGGAGTTACCAAATCCTTCTTCAAACTATGCTTAGCTATTCCACAAAGTTACCCCAAATGATGAAACATAAAAACAGTAAGCTGAAAAAAAGATGGATACATGTTTCCGTGGGTTTGTTCTCCTGCCTTAGGTTTGCTTATTATCCAGGCTATGGGAGCAGAGAGAGGACCAAATCATATCCAGGCTGACACAGTATGAACAGAGGCTCCCTAAGCACATAATAAAGCTTTCATGGCAAGGACAGATGGGAGGAACTGCCCAGGGTGCTCTGAACAGGCCATCACCAGTGCTGAGACTATTTTAATTATAACAATGCTTACCTTCTTATCCTTCATCTGTATATTTCAAAAGGTCTACCTCCTACTCTTGTGCTACATAATGCTTCATAGCCCTATATACTTAAATTGGTTAGTATTATTGAGCCCTGAAGTGTATTTTATAACATCTTTCAAGGTATCAGTTTATGTGATATTTCTAGGTTCATTTTGAGTGTCTTAGGTGACATTTAATACTATTTTCAGCTTACTAATAAGCACCAAATAAAGCAATTTAAAATTATTTTCTTCCATCTTCCTTTACATTCAACTTACTTTTGAGAACTATATTTCAATATAGTGTATCAGCTTTGCTGAATTAATTCATCATGTACCTGCAGGTTTGGATTGAACATATTTTCTGTAGTGACAACTACTCTATTTGTAGGAACTATTTAGGTCACTGGAACCCAGAAAAAGAGGCCACTACTTAATAGAAATGGCATGTATCCAAATACAGAAGCAGTTTTCTGAACACCTGTTGATCATCAATGATGAAGAAACATGATTTCCAAAACCCTGGCCCCAAACCTAAAATGATCACTTTGTTTCAATGGACACACAGTTTAAGCCAGGAAAACAAGTCTCCTAACCAAAGAGAGTCTTAATATGCCAGCTGCTTTAAAAGTAAAATAGCCTCTTCAAAAAGCAATCTGTAACAATGTAAATTATTTCCCATTAAAAACCACTTCCGAGGGACCTATATGATTTGAATGTCAAGGCATCTACAGTAATTGTTTGCTTTTGGAGACACGGCAAGCATGACAAATATTTTCAGTTGTCAAGGGTGACGGAGAAGGGAATGACCCATCTAAGAAATGGAAACTAACCAGTAGTAATATGACACTCCCCCTGAGCTCCACTGGGCGCTGGCTGGTTCGGCGGCTACACACAGCTAACTTCTATGGCAGGATAAAGAGGCTGTGCACGAGCTGAATGAAGGCGGCCTCTTTACCGGGTCCCCCTGAAAACAGTGTTGGGGGCGGGATGCAGGGCCGCAAGGGAAGGGGGCGTGGGCAATACCCTCTACTGTTGCCATTCTTTCACTAAGTAGTTATACGCCGGGCACTGTGCTAGGGCTTAACTTTCCAACTTGACTCAATAATCCATTCTGCTACCCCACACTTTTGTCCCCATTTCCAGCCCTTGGTCTCACTCGCTCGTCAAGAAGGTGCTTATTATAGCCTTGCTTTTCCTCCCATCCCGGGGCTCCCAGGCTAGGGTGACAAGATAAAGCCAGCCAGAGGAGTGCCTTTCCAAACGCAAGAAAGGAGGGCTTGTAGTACGCAGAGAAGGGGCGCGGGGCCGTTCTGAGGACCCTCTCGGCCGCGTAGGGAGAGCCTGCCCTCACTTCGGCGGCCGGTCCCGGGGCAGGGCTTCAGACACCCGGGCATCGCGCTCGGACGGGGAACCTGAGGCCGCGCCGATGCTGGAGAAAGCGGCAGAGAGGGGATTCCTCGAAGGAGAAGGGGGCGCTGCAGGAAGTCGGCGGGAGGCTGGTGACAACAGGCGCGCACGTGGGGAGGAGGACCGCCTCCACCTAGTGACGGGGACAGGTGTGCGGGCAGGAGGGCGGAGGGGGCGGGGAGGGTTACCTGATGAAGGTGGTCTTGCCGGTGCTGTACTGGCCCACCAGCAGGATCATGGGCTTGTTCTCAAAGTCGGCGTCCTCCAGCGCGGGCGAATGGAACTCGTGGAAGCGATACGCCTCCTCCAGCGGCAGCACCTTGCGCTGGTAGAGCGAGCGCAGGCCACCCGTCACCGTCTGCACCGGGTCCGCGCCCGTGCCTCCGCGCCCGCCCGCCTGCCGCCCTAACCAGCTGAACATCCTGCCGCCTGCCCGCTCGTCTGTGCCCCGCGTTCGCCCTTTCAGTGCCGGTCCCGAGCTCCGACCCCAATCCGGGCTCGACCCTCCCCAGCTGGCACTGAGCAGCTCCAACAGCCCTCGCCGCCGCCCGAGCTGGCCCCGCCTCGCGCCATCTCAGCCAGTCTCCGGCCGCTACGTCACGGGAGTGTGTTCATTATTCAGAAGGGCTCTCTCAAGTGCTTTCTCATTGGACCGCTGCCGGCTCGAGTGGAGGCGCCAGCCAATGGAGACGAGTGTCTTAATGAATTATTGATGACGGAGCCTTTCTGGAGGACTGGGCGAAGAGGGTGTTTCTCCAACTTGCCAGGGCAGACCGGCGAACCAAGGGGCCGGGTGTGGTTGGTAGCCCGCGCCCCACCTATAGCCAGGTGGCGTAGATTTCCGGGCAAATCTGAGCTGGCAAAGAAACACACACCCGCGCGCCGCTTGAGGCTGCTTAGTCTCCTGGGATGTTTTTTCATCCCAGCCCTACGATGCTGGGGACAAAAGTTAAAAAGGTTAACAGGCGGGTTCTTTCTACCTACTGGCAGCTTATTATTACTCTGACTTTATCTGTGACGAAACCCTGACTCAAGGACGTAATTGACCAAATTCGAAGTTGGGATGGTAGACTTCAGTCTACTTGGGTAAATGTTTCTCCAGGCTGCCTCCACTTACTTCTGGATCGAGTGAAGGCTTTTTGCCTTTAGTTTTCTTTATGTGCTTTTCTGTAAATTTGAAGGTTTAGTTATCCTCATTATTACAACCTCATTGCCACATATTGACATAAAAAGAGTTACTGTTAGCCTGTAGCAGTGTCTTTTTCAGGTGATAAGACTACATCATTGGAGAAGACTCTAGAGAGTCCCTTGGACTGCAAGGAGATCAAACCAGTCAATCCTAAAGGAAATCAGTCCTGAATATTCTTTGGAAGGACTGATGCTGAAGCTCCAATACTTTGGCCACCTGATGCGAAGAACTCTCTCATTGGGAAAGAGTCTGATGCTGGGAAGGATTGAAGGCAGGAGGAGAAGGGGATGACAGAGGATGAGATGGTTGGATGGCATCACCAACTCAGTGGACATGACTTTGAGCAAGCTTGGGGAGTTGGATGAACAGGGAAACCTGGCGTGCTGCAGTCCATAGGTTGCAAAGGGTCGGATGCTACTGAGTGACTGAACTGAACCGAACTGAAGGATGCATCTAAACTGAGATAAGGAGAAATAATCAGCTATCACTTTCGGTGTCCTACGTTACAGTTTTAGAACGTCTCAATGGTTTCAGTGCATTTCTCGAGTGGTGCTGGTGGTGGTGGGGAAGGGGGTACCTGCATAAGAAAACTTGAGATGGTTGTTAAAATGCAGATGTCTGGTCATTACCCCGTCCTGCTGAGTTAAAATATTGGAGAAGGATGAAGCTCAACAACTATTCCCAGCTGATGCTGATGTATTCTAATCTGGGGGAAATAGTATCACAACAGACTTCTCACATTGGATATTAATGCAGATTCTGATTGTGTATGGGATGTTACCTAAGACTGTGTTTCTAACAAGCTCCTAGGTGTTGCCCAATGCTGCTTGTTCATGGATCATAATTTGAGTACCAGGGCTGTGGTGGAAAGAACAGGATTTGGCATCAAAAGACCTAGGTTTGAATTCTTACTATATAAATTAATGGCTATGTGATCTTGGGGGCTTCCCTGGTGGCTCAGAAGGTAAATAATTTGCCTGCAATGCCGGAGACCCAGGTTCAATCCCTGGGTTGGGACGATCCCCTGGAGAAGAAAATGGCAACCCATTTCGGTATTTTTGCCTGGAGAATCCCGTGGGCAGAGGAGCCTGGTGAGCTACAGTCCATGAGATCGCAAAGAGTCAGACACAACTGAGTGACTGACACTTACACTTATGTGATCTTAAATGCAATGAGTTGTCTTTCTGCCTCAGTTTTCTTGTTTGTAAAATGGGAACATTTTTGGAATTGTGGATAAAGTATTTAGAGGGAGCTATATGACTAAGAAAGTGACAAGAAAGCCAAGAAAAAAAAATGTAGTTAGATATCTGCCTCATCAAAATAAAACAAAGCTTGAAATGTAAAAATAAAACAAAACCATAGACCTACTAGAAGAACTACTACTTCAGAAGCTACTGAAGATTTGTAAAATTTTGGAAGGGAAACGCCTTTATAATCAAAACCAAAGATAGAAATTATGAAAAAAGGTTGATAGCTTTGTCAGCAAAAACCTAAAGGCTTCAATGTGGGGTTATTTTTTAATAAATAAAAAACAAACACTTATAAACATACTCTTGCCATATAATTCAGAATTTTCTCTCCTTGGTATTTACCCAAATGAGTTGAAAACTTATGTCCATATAAGAACTGCATGTAAATATTTACAGTAGGTTTATTCATAATTGCCCAAACTTGGAAGCAACTAAGATATCCTTATCTAGGTGAATGGATAAATAAACTGTGGTACATTTAGACAATAAGATATTATTCAGCTAAAAAGAAATGAGCTACCAAGCCAAGAAAAGATGTGAAGGAAGCTTAAATCTATATTACTAAGTGAAAGAAGTCAATCTAAAAAGGCTACATACTATATGATTGAAACAGTATGATGTTCTGGAAATAAGCAAAACTATGGAGACTATAAAAAGATCAGTGGTTTCCAGGGGTTAGAGAGGAGGGAAGGATGAGCAGGAAGAGGATAGAAGGTTTGTAGGGCAGTGGAACTATTCTGTATGATGATGTAATTGTGGATATATATGATTACACATTTGTCCAAACCCATAGAATCTATAACACCAAGAGTGAATCCTAATGTAAATTATGGATTTGGGGTGAGAGTGATGTGTCAGTGTAGGTTAGGTTCATCAGTGGTAACATATGTACCACTCTGGTGCAGGATGTTGATTGTATGGGATGTCGATAGTGGGAAGGCTGTATTGCAGGGATAAAGGATACATGGGAACAATTTTTACTTTATACTTAATTTTGCTGTGAATCTAAAACCACTCTAACAAATTCTATTAAAAGTAGTATATATATAGAAAACTAAACAGGAACTTCCCTGGCAGTCCAGTGGTTAAGACTGCACCTTCCAATGCCTGGAATGCAGTTCCATCCCTGGTCAGAGAGCCAAGATCCCACATGCCTCCGGTGAAAAAAACCCAAACAAACTTAAAAGAGAAGCAATATTGTAACAAAGTCAATAAAGACTTTTGAAACAGTCCACAGTAAAAAAAAAAAATCCATAAGCCAAAGTAAAGGTCAAAAGACAAATAGGGTAAAATATTAGAGATGTATTATATAATATATATTTAATTAAGGAATTAAAACCTTAAAAATCTATATGAAATTATTAAGAAAGAAAATAATTAGATCAATAAGCAAAGGACATAGACAACTAGAAAAACTAATATAGTTGGCCAGTAAACTAAATGATGCTGATCTCCATTAACAATCAAATAAATTTAAAATGAACAGGTAACATTAAGAATTACAGACTTTTCTTTTTCTAAGATGATGTCTAATGTTAGCCAGGGTGTAGGAAAAGGTACCTTCTCATATATTGCTGGAGATGGTATAAATTGGCACTTTTCTGGAGTCCATACTTACCAAAAATCTTGAAAATGCACATTCAAGACTTCTGCTTCTCAACATCAAACGTAGGATGAAATGACTGTGTGCCTTCCTTCTAAGATCAGAACCGGGCAAAGATGTCTGCTTTTACCACTTCTGTTTAACATCCCGTGCTGTGCCTGTGCTCAGCCGCTCTGTCCTGTCTCACTCTGCAACTCTGTGGACTGCAGCCCTCCGGGCTCCTCTGTCCGTGCGGCTTCTCCAGGCAAGAATACTGTAATGGATTCTAATACCCTCTCCTCCAGGGGGTCTTCCCAACCCCGGGACTGAACCCAGGTCTCCTGCATTGCAGGCAGATTCTTTACCAGCTGAGCTACCAGGGAAGCCCATTTAGCATCCTACTAAGATTCTAGTCAGTACAATAAGGCAAGTAAAAGAAAAGGTATCTAAATGGGGTAGGAAAAAGTAAAACCATCTTTATTTGCAGAAAATATGACCATCTATGTAGAAAATTCTAAGGAATCTACCAAAAAAGCTGGGGCTTCTCTTGTGGCTCAGCTAGTAAAGAATCCGCCAGCAATGCAGGAGACCTGGGTTCGATCCCTGGGTTGGGAAAATTCCCTGGAGAAGGGAAAGGCTACCCACTCCAGTATTCTGGCCTGGAGAATTCCACAGACTGTATAGTCCATGGGGTTGCAAACAGTTGGACACAACAGAGACTTTCACACACTTACTTCACCAAAAATGCTAGTAGAACTAATGAGTTTAGCAGGATTGCTAGGTTTAAGACAAAAACCTCTATTTTTATACACTAGCAATGAATAATTGGAGCATGAAGTAAAAAAATCAATATAATTTGCAATGTACTAAATATATTAAATACTTAGGGGTAAATCTGATTAAAATATACAAGGTCTATACACAGATAGCTACAGAGCATTTCTGGGAGAAACAAAGAAGGTCTAAATAAATGGAAATATATACTTGTGGGTATGTATATATGCTTGCGGATCAGAAGACTCAATATTAAGATGTCAATTTTCTTCAAACTTATATTCAGTGCAATCCTAGCATGTTTTTATTTTTGTTAATTGACAAGTTGATTCTAAATTCACATGTCAATGCAAAGAATCTAAAATAGCCAGAACAATCTGAAAACAAAACAAAACAAAGTTGGAAGACTTATACTACCTAATTTCAAAACTCATTGTAAAGATACAGAAATCAAGGCAACATAATATAGGTATAAAGATAGACTAATATATCAAAAGAACAAATAGAGTCTAAAAATAGACCCACACATACTGGTTAATTGCCTTTTGACACAGTGCAAATGCAATTCAATGGATAAGGAAAGTCTTTTTAACTAATAAGGCTAGTTGGACATCCATATGTGAAAA